CCTCATCCAAGGACCGGAACATGCTGATCCAAGGCCACGAAGTTGACCTACGAAAATGAACAAAAACAGAATTTATATCAAATAATGCACTTTTAGCTCATTTTCATACAAACCAAGGTAAAACCTATTAAAACACAAAAAAGAAGTAAAAAGCTATAAAATGTCAAGAACTAACTCAAAATAGTGGGTGAATAACATGAAAAATCATGTGTAAAAATGAACCGAACATGTGCATCATCATCAATATAGAATCTTTCTCTCCACTGAAACCGATTAAATTACAATTTAGTAAGAACAAGCCTTGCTCATGGTGGTATGACGGCAAGTTTAATTGTTTAGGGTTAGCTAAATTATAATCCAAGTTGGAATTGATTAATTAAATATTTATTATATGGCATGAGCCACATTATTTGGTACTTCAATTTGGTGCACAAATTTGGAGTCCCTAATATTATCAGTAGATTTAAATGTATAATTATCATATCCCAACATTACATCATTAAAGTGTTAAGTAAAAGGCTCCACAATAGTAACAAAATTACCTTTTCTCTGGAGAGCACGCGTTTCTTTTATGATTGTAAAATGCTTTTCCTTTTAATGATACATGTGAATGGCATGCCTTCTTTCCATTTTTCCCCCTTGACCATCCTGTACTACTTTAATTTAGTCTTCAAAGAGATATTTCCATTTTGTTTTCTTGTTTTTGGCTTTTGTGAATATATTTTTTTTTCGTGTACACCTGACGGATTGGGCAGATGGTAAAGTGGGGATAGTATCGTTGTTAGAGTGGGACCCATCGGGCAAATCCAAAAACTTCAACAAGCTGTAACCTCTACAATTAATGTTAAGATTGGTTGGAGGCTGCATTCTAAGGATCAAGGTTTATGGGCCGGGCTTTTTGAGGAAAAATATTTGAAAGGTCACTCAATTATGGATCCTTCTTTAAAACATGATTGTTCCTCAACTTGGTGAGGTATTATGTATGGGTCTGAGTTGTTGGGGAGGGGTTTGCAGTGGAGGATTGGTAATGGGGACAATGTTAGATTCTGGAAGGATTCTTGGTGTAATGACTCCTTTGTTGCAGCAGACAAATTTTGATGGCATTGAGGATGTTAATTGTACTGTTTCTTCTTTTTCTAAGCATGGTTGGTGGATATTGAAAAGCTTAGATGTGTTTTTTTTTTTTGTCTGAATCACGAGGTGGTCCTGGATGGGCCTCAATTATGGGTGGCACCTTTAGGCTTTAACCACAATCCAGACTAATCCCCGCTCACACCGGGTCGGCCCGTAAGGGGTAAAGTGCTGGCCAAAGTGGTGACTCCATACAAGAGCAGGAATCGAACCCCTGACCTCTCTTAAGGAATGAGAGTGCTGAACCACTCACACCAATCACATTGGTTAGCTTAGATGTGTTTTAAGTGATGAGTTTATTCAACACATTATTAATGTGCCAGTAGGTTTTGATAGTAGGTTGTCAGATGCTCAAGTTTGGAAGCCATCTGCTAATGGTATCTTTATAGTCAAGTCTGCTTATCATTTACTTTTTCCAGGTGAGGATTGGGTTGATCCTTTTGGGAAGATTTTGTGGAAGCTGAAGACCCCTCATAAACTGCAGATTTTTCTTTGGTTAGTTTACCAAGGTAAGGTGCTTTCCAATGATCAAAGAGCTAAGAGACAATTAACCATTGATGCTTTTTGTAAGTCTTGTGGTTGAGTTCTGGGCAGCGAGGAAGAAGTTTGGCGATGATGGAGATAGCCAGCCAAAGCCGAAGCAATTCTGATCCCATTTCATATGTGCAGTTCAGTTTTGAAACTTGATTGCTATAGGTGAAAAGGGGAAACTTCTAGAGTGTAGTAATCTATATATTTGTAATACCCACATTTTGTGACTTCGTTTTTTATTTTTATTTTATATAAAATTAGTTTGTCTAGTTTAATATTTACAATTAAGTAATATCTTAGCCTTATTTAATTGGCCTTCTAAAACTGTACTTCATATTTTTAGGCCATCTCCAATGGTTGGGGCTCTAAATATGGTGGATAGAGCCTCATTTAGAGCTCCGATGGAATCTTTGGGGCTCTAAAGGAATCTCTTCCACAATGGAAGACTATATTTTTTTTTTATGATGTAATTTGATTTACGTGTTTTTTTTTTTGGACGAAATTTACGTGTTTTTTTTTTGGTTAGCTATTTTACTTTAATGTTTATTCATGTTATGTTAGTTTTTTTTTTGGTGTGAACATTTCAACAAAAAAAAAAAATCATAATTTGGACAAGATTTGGAAGCCAACATTTTGCTTGGTCAATTTGTAGGAATGGTGTGTAAAAATTGATAAAGTTGTTGTGGTGTGTAAAAATTATGAGAGATATGGTGGGTATTTATAGGAAGAATTGAGTTGCAAATCTAAAAAATTAAAAAATTAAAAAATTAAAAAAATTGAATATAGCCGTTTATTTATAGTTGTATATTTTACAAAACAAAAGGGCAAGTATGGTCAAAGTTCAACAATGGAACTAGCTGTTGTGGTCAAAGTTTTCAACAAGTTTTAAAAAGTGGCAGCAGCAAGTATATCAAAGGCAAGCATGCTATTCCTCAGTCGCAAGGCAAGTGAGAGAGACACAACAATTGGGCTGTCAGCTTTTTCTCCAAGCACACACATTTGGATTCAACTCCGATTGGGCTCAACCTTTTAGGGCCTTGAATTTGCACAACTGAGAATGCTTTTTTTTTTTCAAAGAATTTCTATTTATAGGAGCCTCAAGGTGGTGGAGCCTTATATACAGCCCCCATTGGGGATGGCCTTAGGGACTGCCTTAGAGGTATTAATGGAGCTCACTTTTGGTTTTTACCTACTGGTACATTTGGAAGTGGAGAAACCATGTCTTTAATGATGAAGAGGAGTTGCCTATGTCTTTTTAGAGAATTGTTTTAGCTGCTGGGGCTGTTAGGAAGAAAACTCATAAAGTACAAGTACTACTTGCTTGGGAACCACCATCATGGTTCGTTTAAATTGAATGTGGTTGAAACCAGAAAAGCTGCTTTTGGTTTGATTGGTGAGGTGTGCATCGAGACTCTTTGGGGGACTGGTGTGGAGGGTTTACTGTGAATTTAGGTAAAGGTGAGATCTTGGAAGCTGAATTATGGGGGTTATTTTTTGGGCTCATGATGGCTGTGGCTAAGAGTGTTTCTCACCTTATTATTGAAATTGAATCTGCAATTGCTGTCCAACTTATTCATGGATAGAATTGACGAGTTCCATCCTCTTGCTGGTTTGATTGCTAGTTGCCGGGAGCTTATGAATAAGGTTGATAATTTTGTTGTGTAACATATTTATAGAGAAAAGAATTATGTGGCTGATAGGTGGAGGAGCTATGATGTGGATTTGGGGTTATATGTGTTTGAGTCTGCTCCAGTTTGGATGGCCTCTCCTTTGGCTGATGATGTGCAGGGGTTACTAGACCTCGTCTAGTTTGTCCTGTTGTAGCTGAGTTTGTTTTTGCTGTTTGGGGCTTTTCCCCCCTTTATCATCAAAAAAAGTATCTACATCTTAAACTAAAGCTTGGTTGTTTGGGTGATTAGACTAGTTTGACTTTTATTCCATTCAAATTCCCCATTGATGTCCATGAAGAATGTCAGTTTAATTTCCTCCAAACTCTTATTCAATATTTGTAATTCTGTTCCATTATATGTATTCTTTGTCGAACTTTCCATTATATTCTCTAGAATAACGAAAACTAAGATTCTAAGAAGAAGAAAAAATTTAGGTGCTGGATGTGAGAAATATGATAATAACCACTTTCTTTAATTTGGGTTGCCAACCATGTATGAAAATTTCATGAAATAGGGCACGATTTGGATTCTTTATATCATGCATGCCAACACGATTGATATGATACGAAATTGTATTGGTATGACTGATCTATGAGAGACTCACAAACAATTGCATGATTTGGGTTCATGAGTATCATGCTACCGCAACTGGGGACTTTTTTTCTGGTATACAATTGGCAATTGGCAATTGGCATAGTCGTAAGTCATGTATTTTATGAGAAAATTGTTTGACTTCTATAAGGGAAGGGGAAAGTAAAAGATAAATTAGTGGACTATATATATATATATATGTGTGTGTGTGTATTGTTGAAACCTTCCACATATACAACAAATCCCAAAACTTTTCATCTCAAATATGTGAAACTGTAATTTCGTTTGTCATATTTGAGCTTCCCATATTTTCTTGAATAACAAGGGCTATAAATTTTAAAATTCTTTGACATACGCTTTTCTTTTGAATAAAAATGTAAATATGTATCCCTCAATTGAAAATTGAAAATTGAAATGAGAATGTCAACATGCTCTAGCCCAGGGCCTTGACTTAGACAAATGGTTTCAGGTTTGAACTTTAATAGCACCTTAGAGCACTTCCACTGCAGAACCCGACCTCGGCAAAAGGTCCCCCCCATATTAAAGAAACCCACTCCATCGCACAAATTCAGCCTGGGTAGATGGTTGGCTCTATAAAGACTGAGCAGGTATGAAGGCAAGAACAACCTGAACTGTTGCCTGAGGGCTCTAACGTCAATGAAGAATTTTTTTTAAAATTTTAAAAAAAAATCTGAAAAATTACTAAAAAATTCAGGATATTTTTTTATACATGCCTAGCAATTTTTTATTATTATTAATCTCATACATAAAAATAAAATTAATCCCATGTGAATAGTAATTGCCCTTAGGTTGCCATGACAATGGGTGGAAAAGCAAACAAAAATATTGCTAGGGCAGGCACTATTCACATGAATAGTCCCTGCCCTTGCTTGCCCTTGCCCTTTGCCATGGTACCATGGGTGGAAGTGCTCTTAATAGTGTGAGAAATCCCCCTCTCTCAGTTCTAGTTTAGACTATCGCTTGTATTCAAAAGAAAATTGGAATGAAAATTAAAAAAATACTGAATCAATGAGAATCTTTTATTAATCTCAAGTGAAATATTGAAAAATTGCACTGTGCACATCTATTATTACTACCAAAGAAAACGACTTTAATTTCATGTATTGCTATCACTATTGTTTCTTGTTGTAATATTGTTGTTGGTATTATTGTTTGAATGAACATTGCCAATGATAGAGGTGATGGCTGCTACCAGAGCCGCTGTGAAGTTAGGGTCAGCTGTGACGGCCGCTGTTGCTGCATTGACTTTGTCAGCCAATGAGTGTGTAGCGCTATCCAATCCCTGAAAGCTATCGAGAACTGAGAATTTCGATTGGCTGGAAAGGGCTTGACCTAGAATTTGTGGCACAGACATCATGTTTTGAGGAAAACTTGGAGGCAGCTGGTTTGGCTGGCCAAGTGGCATCTCTGAGGAAGTTGGAGTTCGAGTGAGGTCCAATGTGACAGTGGGAAATGGTGCTGAAGCTGAGAGTGTTGCCAAACTTGGTGGGCAGTTTGGTAGGGCACTTCTTGCCAGGAAGCTGTTTGAGCTTATTAGGCCATCAGCACTAGGCATTGAGCCTGATAGTAGCATTGATGCTGCTGCTGATGTTGTAGACGCCATTGCCATTGCAGCAGCAGGGAGTGGATGGTTGTGGTGGCCTTCGTAGGTTGTTACCAGTATAGTTCGGTCTTCTGCACATCTTTGCACCTGTCAATTACGATTCCAATTAGGTCCAGTTAACATGTTATGTTGTCAGACTGTTAATCTAAAAACAAGAAAGAGGCATGTACTTGTTAACCTAAGAACAAGAAAGAGAGTACGTACCTGTTTGCGAACTGGGCAACCAGTTCCCATGGTACAACGATAATAAGCTCGAGGGCATGGGTTTCCTTTAGCCATTTTCTGACCATACTTTCTCCATTGGCATCCATCAGATATCTGAAAGAGAATTTGATATTAGGATGATGAAATCCATATTTCTCTGTCGTTGAATTATACTCCAACAGAAGCATGTGTGTTTTAATTTCCTATTTTCTGTTTGGTTTACTGAGGTGTGGTTTGAAATTATCAGAAAAGAACTTGCTTCTGAATATTTATGTACTGCATAATTTGTCCACACCCATCTCATTAAGAAGACATTTGTTTCAGAGTTTTCCAATTAATGTTATAATACGTTTACTAATATTGAAGATTGTAATCTGTATCACACATTCAGATGAGAATCAACATGATCGATCAATGGTCTATGTATACAGTTTGACAAACAAATCTCAACTATAGGATAGTTTCTTACCATGGACGCATCAGATCGTGCCCGAACAGAAACGCGGGCTTTCTTAATCATGGACATGGTTTCTGATGAGGCTTGATCCACGTCCCTGGGACTCATCATCTTGGACACTTTCTTAGGAACCCACCCTTGAAACTCTTGGTCAGGGCTATCTTCTCCCCCATTAGTAGTACTAATTCTTCCACTAAGATCCCTGTGAAGTACATGACTAGTACTCTTGCAGAATTCCATTGACTCAACGATGTCGTTTTGTGGAGGCGACCCGGAACAATCTTGGGATCTGCAGCCTTCCAAAGAACACTGTGAAAGCTCATCTTTCTCAGCCCTGCCCATATCCATAAATTGCCTTGGAACAATATGGTTGAACCCGTTCATCATCTGCTTCTCTTCTAACACGACTGACCCATTATTGATCATCTAAGCAAATCCATGAAGTTGCGGATATTAGTGAAATTAAAGAAATATATATTATGTAGACAAGGAATCAGATTAATATATATATATATATATATATATATATATATACCTGGTGTTGTTCTGGAGTTTGATGATCAGCCTTTTGATTTTGCTGGCGTTGCATCAGTGTCACAATTTGCACCTGTAATGCCTGGTAATTGTTGTTCACCTGGCTAATCATAACTCTCAGCCGTTGATTTTCTACACTCATACGGCCTAATTCAGCCTGAAGAACTGCCAACTGCATGAAAACCCAAAATTAATTTCTCACATGAATATATATTAATTCATCTAAATTAATGAACCAACAAAATTAATAGAAATTCAATCTCCTATAGTTTGTAATTATTTTAAACCACAGGTCCCAGAAAGAAAAAAAAAACTGTCCAAATATTCCATTTATATAAACGTGCCTACCTCATTTGTTCTATGCTTGTCTTCCATAGTATGGGACGATGAAGTTCCATCATCCATGGATGATTTGTCGCTACTGGTGTATGTTGTGAGAAGATTTAAACCAGTCTATAATAATCAAAACCATGACAAAAAAGAAAAAGAAAAAGAAAAACAATTAGCACTAATTCAGGTGGTGTAAGAAATTCAAAGAGAAAAAAAAGAAAAAAGACTCGGTAAATATATTGGACGAACTATATGACTAGAACTTTTCATACATTTACGTCGGGTAGTTGCTTTTCTTGACCAACGCCGTGATGATCATGTGCGCCTTCTTCTTTAACCTCAACCGTCTGATCTCTCATTTCCATCAGACGACCCTTGTTATCAGCAAAGAAGTCCAACTCATCAACAATCCGCTTCCCGTGATTATCGTGATCAACGGCTGTTTCCGGAGAAAGTAGAGGCCGCTCGATTGATCTGCAGTTGTGAATCGAATGATCACTAGCTGCAGATTCCATGGTTTGTGTAAGAAATGAATGAAATGGTGTTTTGGAGGGTTTAAATTGAATTCAGTCTATTTCTATGTGTGAAGGATTTGGTTTTCTGCTAGTGGTAGGAAGAAGAAGAAGAAGAAGCAGAAGAAAAAGAGAGCTGTTGTAGACAGGGCAGTCGTCTTGGTTTGTCCATAAAATAAAAATATATAAAGAAAGAGGAGAAGTGAAGATGAGAGAGAGAGAGAGAGAGAGAGAGAGAGAGAGAGTGAAGTTTGAAGTCATAGGAGATGCAATAGACTCGGCTTTAAAAGGGTTTGGTTGGACTAAGACCAACCAACATGTGTATTCAGAAAATGAGTGAGATCGATCTTAACATACAACAACAACAACAACATCATGAAATATGGTAGAGAATAGAGGAGTGAGGTCAGGTGACGCGTCAAGCCACCACGTGGCTACACATTCGCAGGAGAGAGAGAGAGAGAGAGAGAGAGAGAGAGGAGGGGGTAACTCTTCCTTCCATCTGTTATATTTTTTTTTATTTTTCATTTCCTTTATATATATACATATAACAATTGTGGGAAGGGATAAAAGCAGCAGTGTGGTACATGCATGTTACTAGCACAAGTCAATAAGACCTATATGCTTAATTATTACAGATTTTTTTAAAAAAATTGGGAAATTAGTTTTCACTAATAGGTGTTATTCCAAAATCGTCATCTCAACTGTACCCTAATGAAAAAAAAAAAAAAAGAGATATAGAAGTGCACATCTTGATCAAGTGAGCTCGCTTACGTGCCTAGAAATAAAGCGTCTATTTGCAACGATGGTCGGAGATCATCTAATGGTTGCAAAGCATTATAACATTAAAATGATTGAATAATATCTCATGACATATTTTTAAGCGTTCCTGTAGTCTGTTATGACGATTTTCGTTCTACCTCACGTTACCTCATACCTAAAACTCATGGAAATTTTGCTAGCACTTGATCATAATGATAAAATTCATTGAAAATTTTCAAGTGATAATGATAAAACTCATTGAAATTTTTCAGGAAAAGTAAAAATGAGCTGGCAGAAAAGAAATGTTGCTAATTTTGTTGGAGAGAAAATAAAAGAATGTGTGTAGTTGTGTGTCAAAGAAGTGAGTTTGACTGATTCCTGATGTGCATTGGGGCTATTGGTCCGGCGCAATCCATGTGCAGGGAGGAAAAGGCAGAGTCAACGATATAGACGGCCAAGCTCCCTTGCGACTATACTGGGTCCCACTTATGTTTTCTTTGACCGCCCTCGTTTTGGATCAAATCAATCATCAAAGAAAACAAAAGGCGTACCAAAGAAGTTAATTGTATTAATTTTGGTGAGGTAAGGGTGTTCCAATATTCAAATGTTGTCATTATGTAGTCACCCGATGATTCGAGTGAAATGTGATATGTTTATAGCAGTTGAGAAAATGAAGTATATACGCAATGGATCGGTCGAAAAAGGAAAAATAGGTAAGACAAAAGTAATTTGTATGTCACGGTAGTACTCGGTGAAATGTTGATGTAGAGAAATACTCGTTTTACCCGCTCATATATTATAATATGGATGGGCAACATGATTTATATTTCAGGAACCCATGGTATAATATTAATAAATAGAATACATGGTCTAACATGAGTGGATTGGTAATACCACGTAGCACTATAATATTTCTAAACCTAATATAATATAGTACTTTGATTTACTAACATGCATGTGGTTTACCATCACACATAATGATTTCTTATAGAATAGCGACTAATTATAATTAAATAAATAATTAGATCAATAATAAAGACACTTGTAACTTAAGTGAGTTAAGTGCATTAACCAAAGGATTTGTATCTAAATTTCTCTCTCCCAATAATATCACCAAAAATCGACAAAAACGTAAGCATTTTTATATTATGATTTTAAAATAGAGTTTGGTGATTTGTCCTCTCGACTTGCCACGTTTCTTGATTCTCTTATTGATTCCTGACAAGAGATATTTGGCTAATGCTAATCAAGTTTCCAAGTTTCAGAAATAAATAAATAAATAAATGTTCATATTATCATACAATTATAAGATCCCATAATTCCCTTGTATGCATTAAAATATATATAAATCCATCAATAATTTTGATTAAGAAAAGTAAGTCGCTATCTGTCTCAAGTCTTAATTTGATGAATATATATCCCAACATTGCATCATCGAAATGAAGTCAAAATTACAAAAAAAGACGTAACTTGGAAATACTCACATTATCTTATCTCTTAGATATCATATAGTCACGACCTTCTCACTTTTTCATACTTTGCCTTCCGTCCCGTAATAATAGAAATAGAAATGATTAGAATGTTCCAATATCACGGAAAGTAAAAAAAGTTATCCTCTGTGAGTCGGGATTCACATTTTCATTTCATGTTGTCTATGTCAATCTGGATATGGAATCGGAGACCATCCCTTCATTTCATGTTCTCTATGTGAATCTGGATATGGAATCGGAGACCATTCAACAAATTAAGCAGACTTAGACTTGAATATTCTATACATATTTGGAGGCAATACATGACAAATAGTTCAAAAGTTATACAAAGAAAAAATATGGTGCCATGGATGTATCATATATAACTGCACTTTTTTTAACGTCAATATGTTTTGGATATTCTTGGTATTTTTTACAGTTCACGTGTTATAATATTATGGATAATTGTATGGTACTAAAATATAATTATGTAGTACATTTCATTCATGTGTTATAATATAGCTGAACGATCGAGTTTTCAGTATATACTACACCATAACACATCATTACAATGCATAAAGTACGTCGTGAAGTGCCATTCAAGGCGTAAAACCGCAAACAGTAATGGCCCTTATCGTAATCAATATTCTTATACTTTTTATTTATGTACAAATAATATTGGAGAAAAGGAGAATCAAATTTAGGATCCTTGACAATACTCTTAACCACTTGAAGTCCTGCTTGCGTTTGAATATTCTTACATAGTTTAGTATTATTATATATGCTCGTACAAATAATTGACTTCGCCTAACATATGAAAATTAGTGGAGATAAAAATAGTTAGTATATCTATAGCTGTGATTTTGTAGGTTTTCAAGATATCTATTATAAGTAATTATCAATTAAAAATAAAAGGGTAAAAAAAAACTTAAAAGCAAGAGAAAATTAAGGATGATCATATAGATTATTTTTCAACAGAACTCAAAATGTACGCGGGCTACTAACTAGGATTCTCTTTTCTTTAGTTTTTTTGTTACATATGTTCAAGATTTCTCATCATATTTCGTTTATAATAATCCAACACAAACTTGAAATATGAGAAATTCTTTCAATAATCACCTTTTAATTAAACCCTTTAAAATTCTGTGTGGATTTTGCCAAACTTGAGGTTTGAATGGCATCAACGACATTGTGGTTGGTGAATATTGAAAGTTAATTTGAAACATAGGCAAATTAATAGAAACTATACAGTATCAATAACTATTCAGTTGTGTTATAACACATGAACAAGTTATACTACTTCAGGACCGCACTACATATAATTACTCATGTTGCTTGTATAATTAAGAATGACTGCAGTTAACCTATGTAGGATTACTGGAATACTCTAGAAAATCAACATTTTATTTTCTGCATGCATGGCTGTGAAACCTTTTGATTTTGATATAGCTCGTTTTAGGCACCTTTTGATCAATAGTTTGGTGAAAGTCACTTGTCCAATTAAAGCAAGATTAAAGTACAGCCTTCAGGTCCATTCAAAGAGTCTTATACATATACATGGACTACTTGCAAGTAGGGTTGAGGTGTGCTTGACTCTCGCACCGCTTTAAGTCGGACTACGAAACGGGTAACCTTTACTTAATTAAAGACTAGTTTAAAGGGCATTAGTTGGCAAAGCTTGCTCACAAGTCTTAAATGGTTGTAAAGTTAAGATTGATGCTCGTGTTTGTCATATAGTTTGACATGTTATATATACGGATTTATAGTTTGACATGTTATATATACGGATTTATTATTAATCGATTTTCGTGTTTATTCCCATTATATAAACGATGAAATTAAACATATTTTTTAAAAGTGATAAGAAACATACCCTAACATATGACACAAGAAAGTTTAGCATATCCTCTTAAAAATAAAGCCATTAGAAGCATCGCATGAGACATGCTTCGTGCACCTCCTCAAGCTTAATATAGTTGCACATAGATAGCCCCCTCCAAACAATCCCAAGATCTCCTTTCCTCCCCATTTCTACCACAATTTGCGAAAGGTTTTGGTGGCTATTGTTATTGTAAAATATGTAATTAGCATCCAAAACTTTCTTGTATGGAATCAACCCAACAAGTGCAGACCCAAAAAAAAAGAAAAGAAAAAGGAATCAACCCAACAAGTGGTGCCGAACATAATTTATTGCAAAAAAGAAAATACCCATATTAGTTGTGTCCCACATATTTACTCAAAAACAAATTTATATTCATATTTCCATTTATTCTTCCATCCCAAAGTTAGTACGAGTCTCTGAGTTATATGTGATGACTTTGAAAAAGTCACTAAATGTGTGCATATTATTTTCATAACACAAACTACCTCAAACGTCAACTGCATAATTCCAATCAAAACTAAATTATAATGGCATAATTTTTTAGATTAGGGTTGAAACTTGACCGACTAATTAATTATTTTGTAGAGGTTCGATGCTTGCTTGCCCTATTTTTATAAACAAGTATCATGCTTACCAAATGCAAACAAATAAAGATTGCCGTGTTGACATAAGATTCAATTCAGCATGGCATGCAATTACTTGCAGAGTAACACAAGGTGTGGAAATGGAGGTTCAAATGTTAGGTCGAATATTAAAGAAAACGTTTATAGAGTTTGAAAAAATTGTAGTGAGAGACGGTGGAATTTAATAAGACAGCATGGAGAGAGCAGGAAAACATTGAAGAAAAAGAGTACTCTACCCTATGATACATTTGGTAGGGAAATCATTATTGATAGGAGCTAGGGTTGGACCAAGATGGGGGCCAAATTAAGAGCCCCCGTCGGGTTGGATTGGATCACCAAAATTAATTAATATAGGAGTTACAATTTTGTCAAAGCAAAGGAGGTAAGTGGTTTTAAATTTCACTTTCTGCATTTGATTTTAGAGAAAAGAGGCTTGAGGATAGGAAATCAATTAC